TGGCTCAGTCTAAGAGCTACAAGAACAAGAATTAATGAATTCAGGAACACTCTGCCACATGTTCAAGAATACCACCCACAGAAGAGCAGAAAGATTCCAATGAACACAGATGTCTATCAGCTCCAAGCCAGGTTGCAGCCATCTTGCAGACCCATCTCACTGACCTTGGCTGCCAAGGGTCGAAGCAGCCGTGTGGTAGGTCTCGCAGTCCACACAAAACGTTCCTTGCTTCTCTGCCCCAAGCATTTCCAATTTCCGGGTGAGAAGCTCCACAGTCTGCTGGACACTCTTGCCCTCAGCCACAGGCATCTGGGACACACTAGAAGGGAGAGGACCGAATCATCAGTACCCAGAGACACACGTGCACTTGCTGAGTCACGTGATCACCCACAGAGTCACAGTTCATCAGGGCCAGGAGTTGCCTCAGAGATCACTTACCATGTCCCCCTCATTTTAAAGATGAGGAAATAGGGGACCACAGTCCCTGAGAACTAGAGCATGGGTCTCAAGACTTTCACACCAGTGCAATGAACTTCCTATCACCCCAAAAGTTCCTGAATGTGGCATGTGTGCCAACACTCAAGAGCTTTTAGAGCACACAAACTGAGCATTTGTTAACAGTGAGTCGTATAATGAGAAAGGACTTCCTTTGTAATTCTTTAAGTTCTGACTCTATCAAGGAGAAAGCCTCAATTTGCGGTATGTTTTTCCCAACTTTCCAACACTTTTAACATGCACTGTTCAGTACAGTAGCCACAAGCCAAGTGTGGCCATTTAAACTAATAAAACAAATTAAATTACAAATTCAACCCCTCAGCTGCACTACCCACATTTCAAAGGCTCAATAGCCACATGTAGCTGGGGGCTACTGTATTAGACAGTGCTGACATAGAACACTGCCATCAATGCAAAAAATTATATTTGACAGCCCTAGGATCTAAGACAAAGCCTCAAGTTTATAAACTTTGGGAGTGAGAGGCAACAGCATGTACAAGAATTTAATCAAGACAAGAAAGCAAAAAATGTTATCTCCAAGATTTCCTTCTATGGTGAGTGAAGCTGGCTTCCCCCTTAGAGTGGTAGGTAACAATCTAAGCCCCAACTATGTGCCAGACAGTGCCCAAAGGCCTTGAGATGAATCAATTATTCCGAATCCTCACAATAGCCCTAGAAGATGTCCTATAATTTATCTCCTTGTTAAAATGAGGAAACTGAAGTATAGAGGTGTTGACTAACTTGCACAAGGTCACACAGCTTGGTGCGGTGTAGCCAAGATTCAAAGCCAGAAGAGCTTTGACTGGGGAACAGCCATGGTCATTGGTTACACAATGCTTTCAAGCTACAATGGCATAGTTGACTCTCCTAGGGAGGGCGCAGCTCACAGTGACCCATGCGGGGATCGAACCGGCAACCTTGGCGATATCAGCACCACGCTCTAACCAATTGAGCTAACCAGTCTCCCCTCCATGTCTGTGTTCTTAGCCACCATACTAGACTGTTTCCCTAGGGATATAGTTGCCTGTTAAAGTACTTTTAAGGAAAAGAAGTAGATTTAAAAGAAAGCATTAATAAGTGTATAGATAATACTTAGCTATATAAAAGTCACAGACAGTCATATATGACTGACTTTTGGGAGATACTGCATTGCTTTATTATCAATCAATTAAATGAAGCTATAAAAGTAGGGTCCTACTGTTGCTAAAAATTACTACTCTCCACCAGAAAAAGCACTGATAAGCAATGATGATGATGTGCCTTATTTTGAAATATAAGAGTCTCCCTAAGCTGATGCTACTAGGGTGAGAAGTCCTAGGAGCCTGAAAAAGTTGATAAGAGTCCCAACAGAGAGCCCTTTCCTTCTGTCGGCCTTCTCTATTGAAAAAACAGGGGCATCCAGGCTTCCAAGCCTCTGTGCTGCAAACTTTTCATTCCCATCATTCACACATTTCCTTTACACTAGAGAACTTAAGAGGAAGCTCGGGATGTCAACTGTAGAAACAAAAGTGCAATCACTGACAAACGTGCAAGAACCTGGGCTACCAGGAGTTGTTCCCACAGGCTCTTAATACGAGAAGCCTATGGCCACTGACTTCAGGTATCCTGGCCTCCAGCCCTCTCTGACTAGAAATGCTCACACTTACCGATTAAAAAAAAAAAAGCCCTGAATTTAGCATTTTGTAACTAATACCAACAAGCCCATACCTTTCCTTGCCACTCTGACTTATAATGTTAGAGAGAAAGAGAGAAAAATCCATAGAAATTAGACCAACCATGTAATCTCATAGTAGGAAACAGGTCCTGAAGAGGTGATACACCTGGCACCCCAATCTCCTAATTCCCAACAGCTTCGTTTTTTCTTCTCTAGATCCAAGATCTTACAACAGCCAAACTATAATAGAACCAGACACAGGCTGGTGTAACTCCATTCAGTGGCTGTAGGAAGAGGCAGGCGAAAACCTAAAAACGACACTGTCTCCTGGTTGCCTATCCCACACCCGCTCCAGCCCTGCCTGCAGATAGGTCCTAGTCCGCATATCCTATTTCCGACCCTAAAGTTCCACTCTGGGCAGTACTATGGCCTCATGGGCAGGAAAAAGTATAAAAAACAAAAAAAATGGGAAGGGGGTACCCAAACATTGATAGGTTCCTGGGCGGGTCGGGGGTGGCGGGGGGGAACCCAGGAGAAAGGATGGCGTATCTCCAAGGAACCAGGCCCCGAGAATCAGCAGCCCTCACGGTGTCTCCCTCACCCACACAATCCGAGGACATCTTGCTCAGCTCCTAGGGACAGCAGACCGTGGTCCCGACCTCTCCTCCCGGGTACACTCGACTCCGAGGGCCTTTCACGACCCCAAGTCTCGCCCCACAAAATCCCTGGCAGTCTTACCAAGTCACTCCCATGGTGTAAGGTCAGCAACGTAGCAGGACCAAACAGTGGAAACGCGGAGCTCTCTTGGACTCGCACATTAATGAGAACTCCTCAGATGCAAGCGTCCGCGGAGAGTGGCGCTCCGGAAATTACGTAAACTCAGAGCGCCCAGTCGTCGCTCCACGAGAATAGGGGCGTGTCCAGGCTCTTCGGTGACGCCTCCGGTGGCGGCTCTGCCCGAATGCAGTACCAAGGCTTGCAGCTCTCTGGGCCTAAATCCACAAAGCTCAGAGAAGCCTACGTTACAATGCTGCAAGTTTTTTTGAGAGTCTAGCTCCAGGACCTGTGAGCTCTTAGCAGGTGTGGCCCGCGCTGATGGCACTCCTGGCCTCCGAACCATAGGGGGCGCTGTGATCTCCGTGTGGCCTCTTGGTCCCTGGGAGTTCATTGCGCAGGCGCATTCAGGACTTATTTTTCGTCTCCACGTGTGAACCTTCCCCGCAAGTTTTTGGAGAAAAATGCCCAAATTCAAGGCGGCCCGCGGGGCCGGGGGTCAAGAAAAACACGCGCCGCTGGCCGAGCAGATTCTGGCTGGGGACACAGTGCGGGCAGGGGCGCGGGAAAAGCGGCGGGGTCGTGGAACCGGAGAAGAGGAAGAGTATGTGGGGCCCCGGCTGACCCGAAGGATTTTGCAGCAAGCGCGGCAGCAACAGGAGGAACTCGAAGCCGAGCATGGGACTGGGGGCATGCCCGCGGCGCCCCGGGAGCGCATCACACGGCTGGGTGAGTGGCGGGGGGGTGAGTGCGAGGAAGAGAGCGGTTAGGTGGGGGTGGACAGGTGTGGGGCCGGGGAATAATAGCTTGGAATAAAAAAAGGGGGGAGATCGATAATAGTACACTCTCGCAAAAGTAATGAAATGGGAAACCCAACCCTGGAGCAGATTTAGGGTGGTCAGCGCCCTCCACGCCCACTCCTAGTTTTAGGCTCTCTCCTCTAGGCACCCCTGAAGTTAGTCCAACAGTAAGTGATTGCTCGCACCACTAAGTTCTCCTAGTATTTATCCATTTGTTTTATAAATACTTAGGGGATATCTGCTACGTGCTTCATTCGCACTGTGCTAGGAGTTTAGATGGTTTGGGTAAAGAAGTAAACAAGAGAGATGTGCCTGACTTCAAGAACTTCCAATACTTAGGAGAGAGGCAATTAAATAGACAATTAGAATAAAACATTCTGTGATAAAGTATAGTTTCTCGGATAACAGTAGCATTGGTCTTGGTGGGTCAGGCTTCCCAGATTGCATGACCTTTGTGCTGAGACCTAAAAAAATGAAGGGGGAGTGCTCTGAGCAGAAAGAACAATATTGTTTAGGGGCTCAAGAGGGACAGAGAGTACGGAAAAGATGATCAGCATTTTCTTATTAGGGTGGGAGTGTTGACCTCTGAGTTGCTTAATCTGTTTTTCAGATCTCATCTTTAGTTTGTCCTGACACAAGTGAACATTGGCCTCCTGGCTACAGTATCTTTACTTGGCTTCTAAGCCATTACATTTTTGTGTTACTGCTTTCTTACCTCTCACTATTTTTTGCTGGCTCCTCTTTTGTCCCAACCTCTTATTTAAGTGCCACAAGGTTCAGTCTTTGGATCACTTCTCTTCAGTTATTTCTCTGATGCTGTCATCAGTTTCATGGTTTAAATACCATCTATTTGGTGACTGCTCCCAACTTTATATTCTAGCCCTGATTTCTTCATGAAACCCAGATTCTTATAGTTCATCTGCCTATTTGGCATCTCCGGGTTGAAATCTATCTCATATTTAACTTATCCAAAATAAACCTGCTCGCCAAACCTGCCCCTCCCACATTTCCCTAATTTCATTTAATAGCATGATATCTTTCCATTTGCTTCAAACTGAATCCTCGGACTCCTTTCTCGCTTCACATTTGATCTGTTAGGAAATCCTGTGGACTCCACCTCCAGGATACTTCTCACCACCCTGGAACACCATCCTGTTCAAGCCACCTTGATCGCACCTGGATGATTGCAGTAGCCTCCTCATTAATGTCCCATACCCCCCTACAGTCGTTCTCAACTCAACAGCTAGAAGGTCACAATGGTCTGAAAAGCCCTATATGATCTGCCCCCATTGCCAGCCTGACCTCTTCTGCTTTTCTCTTTATTCCACCATATACGCTTCATTGTTCTTAAACATGGCCAGGTAGGGCCTTTGCCGTGGTTGCTCCTTCTGTCCTCATACACCTATAGGCTTACTCCTTCAGTTCCTCACCTTCTCAGGGAAGCCTGTGCTGACCACTCCGTTAATAATTGCGACCCCTCCACCTGTCTCCACACTCCCAACTTCTCTACCCTATTTCTTTTTTCATAGCACTTGTCTTTTACCCTAATATGTTATATGGATTTATTGTGTCTCCCCCACTAGAATGTAAGCTCTATAAGGGCAAAAAGTTTTGTCTTGCTCACTAACATGTTTCCAGCACCCAGAACAGCGTCTCACATATAGTAGGCACTCAGTGTTTGCTGAATGAATGGATTAATGAACGATGGTGAGGTCGGTAGGAGCCAAATCTGCAAAAGACGTGGAGGCTGTGCCCAGGATTTAAAGCTATCATAAAGACAATGGAAAACTATTGGCGACTACGGAGACCAGTTAGGGTATTGTTGAATTAATCCAGGCAAGAGATGATGCTGATCTAGGCTTACCCAGGACTGTGAAGGATTTGACAGATATTCTATGAGGTAGAACTGAATAGACCTTGGTAAGTGATTGGGTGTTGGGGGTGAGGACAAGGGACGTGGCAGGCCTTCCAGGTTCTGGCTTAGCACTGGGTAGATGGTGGTGCCATGTACCTAGATGTGGAACACAGTGAGTAGTATAGACCTAGGAGGAAAAGAGAGTGAGTTTGGTTGATAGGTAAAGTTTGAGATGCCTGTGGGTCATCCAAGAGTGGCTGTACGGGTGGCAGCTGGACTTAGCTAGGGTCGGGAGCGAAAGATCTACCTACAAGTACAGATTTGAGAGACAGCACATGGAGACAAACAATCTCTCCCCCCCTCCCCATTTAGCTTCTATGACACTCTCCCTTTGTTCTTAATGACCTGTTGATATGCAGTATTTTATCTCACTGATTGGGGTATTACATCCCTTACCAGATTCTCAGCCCACTGTAGAGACTTCCAGTATAATCAGTTATTCAAATGTTTGGTCCATTGAAACCCGAGCTCCACTGCCTGGTCTCAAGACCCTCCAAAGTCTGCCCTCGTGTTACCTTATTTCTAGGCTTATTTCTTGCTACTGCCTAACACCGGCAAGCCTTTTTGCCGGTGTTACCCAGGTATGGAACGCACTCCACCTGCTCCCATGCTCCCTATCGAGAGCCTAACCATCCTCTGCACTCATCATCCAAGTGCCTGTGGCATATACTGTCTCTACCATTCATTTGGCACATAATCAAGCCCTACTGTGTGTGTGGAATAGAGGTAAAGAATGCACAGCCTAGACCTAGATTTCCTGCCTTCGGCAAATTACTTAACTTTTCTGTGCTTCAGTGTCCCCATCTGAAACTGTGTATAATAATAGTACCCTCCTCTTGGGGTTTTGAGAGTTATGTACAGTATCTAGAACAGTTCCTGCTACATGATTGAGTATAGTGTGGTTTTGTTTTGTTTTTTTATAGCTGAGCCATCCTGCTACCTGTTGGCAGCTCAGCGGCTGCTCAGCTCGGGCTGGACTTGAACCGCTGTTGCTCAGAGCTCAAACTCTTGAGCGAGCTCTTAACCAACTGAGCCACTCAGCCGGCCCTGAGTATAGTGTGTTAACTGTTACTTATTGGCATCACTATCTTCTTGGTTCGTATGTGTACATTTTGTTTCCCAAGCAAGATTGTAAGCTTCTGGACAGGTGGGAAGGTAGTGTGTGCATCATCTGTTTCACTGCACACATCTGTATCTATTACAAGCACACATGAGGCCTGTACTCTAAATGATGGTTAAAGTTAACTTGACCTCTAAATCCCTCACCCACTGCTTACCTTGATCACCTGCTTCATCTCCCCTCTTCTAGGTCCAGGAGTGCCACAGGATGGCTCAGATGACGAGGATGAGGAATGGCCCACCCTGGAGAAGGCTTCCACAATGACAGGGGTGGGCCACCATGCAGAGGTGGTTGTGGACCCTGAGGATGAGCGTGCCATTGAGATGTTCATGAATAAGAACCCTCCTGTCAGGTAGGACTGGCATGGCCTGGGATTGGGGGTAGTGGGTCCTGGGAGGAGCTTCCTGAAGAGAAGCATATGCTCTGGCAGGATTTTGATTCCCTACCTTTGGGAAGGGCCTGAGTATTGCTGGTTGTGGGGAACCACCTTAACCAAATTGGCCCACCCTCCAAGGACCATTCTGAGTGAGAATGACCCAGACAAAAATATCTCCTCCCCCTCTGTCCACCTGCTCTAGAACTGCCCGGATTACCTGGGGAAACAGCTACCGGGCCTTTTTATGTCTCTGGGGAGAGCCATCCCGTTGCATTTGGTCTTGGCATACTCAGTGTTCTTAGTGGTAAGCTCAATTTCCTTGGCCAGATCTTTTTCATACCCTGAGCTCCATTTCATCCAGGGTTTTACACCCTTGGCACTATTGGCGTTTAGGGCTGGATAAGTCCTTTTTGTGGATACTGTCCTGTGCAATGTAGGACGCTTAGCAGCATGCCTGACCACTGCCCTCCAGATAGTAATAATGACCATTCCCCCAGTTGTGCTAACCAAAAATGTCTCCAGGCATTGCCAAATGTCCGCCAGGGGACAAATTCACCCCCAGTTAGAACCAGTAATTTATTCCCATCTATAATAAATGCTGGCTTCAAAACATGTAGGCATTCAAGCTCCTAAGCATGTGGATTTGGGCCCAGGAGAGGGGAGTCTAGGGTAAGAGCCCTCAGCCAGTCCATTCTGACCCTGTGAGATTAACATGACATGGTTCTTGGTTCTTCGGTTGTTTTTGGTTAATGCACCTCATTGCTATTAATACCGTGAAAAGTCAGGGAGACTGAATGATGAGGTGAATGATAGTTTATTTGAGAGCACAGAGTGAAGAAATGAGCCCCTTTCCCAGATGGATGCCCAAAACTGAAACAGATGTCACAAAATGTGTACTTGGACTTTCGCGCTTGTCCAACCCGAGAGCCTCTCAGTACCTTACAGCTCTTTTTAACAGATCATGCTAACAAGTTTGGCGGAATGGTTTTCCATCTTGCAGTGAGTAGAAGAGTAAAGCTACTAGAAACGGACTCCTGACAGTCTTGAGAAGTGACAGCTGGCATCTTTAAAAAGCATACCTAGACGCACATGAACTCAGCAGTCGAGAGGCTATTTAGTTTGGAGGCACACAGCACCTAAACTTTAGAACCTGAAGACCAGGGTCTGACTCTTTTCCCCCACTTGAGGGCTATGAGACCTTGGGTGAGTTATTAACCTCCCATGTTGAATAAGGAGAATAATGGCACCTCGCATAGGTGTTTACACAGACTATATGAGATAACATCTGGGAAGTCCTGTACTCAGTGCCTGGCGTTGAGAAGGCCTTCAGAAAACAGGGGCTGTTTTAAATATAATTTAGCAGCCTCTGAAGATACCATTAATATTATATCAAAGCCCAGTGTAATGAGAATTCTGAATCATCACAATAAAATTATGTGTGGTATACTCTGTTTAACAAGGCTGAGAAAAATGTCACTAATCTTAGAGATACTTCCATAAATTTTAGTCAATTAAAATGGGGGGAAATTTGGTCATGGTCTTTCCCTAATGATCGCAGCTACTTGAAATCTTAGTATATAACTGAGATGTGTCTGGCACTCCAAAGAGGTCAGACCAGGATTTTGTAATTGAAGAGCCCTCAGCATATTGCCAGCAAATGAGGGGTGTGTCTGAAATAGGCAGGACTTACTACACGTTTGCTGTGTACTAATACTTCCAAGTAACGTATGTGCATTCATTTAATCCTCATGCTAACTTTATGAGGTAGGCAGTTACCTGTTTTACAGATGAGGAAACTGAGGCATGGAGAGGCAAAATAGCATGCCCAGGTCATGCAGGGAGTGGAAGAGCCAGGATTTAAACCCGGACAGGTTCTGAAGCTCCACATGATTGCCCACTTTGTCCTGTGTTGAATGACTTTCAGGTCCTTGGTGTTCTGCAGCGGTTCTGTGGAGGCCACACTTCCCAGCAAGATGACAGGTTGATTGGAGTTCACAAGGGACTCTGTGGGGAGTCTGGGGCTTCCTAGACTGTGACCATAGCGCTCCCACCCGCTTCCCTCCCCTACTCTTAGGCGCACCCTGGCTGACATCATCATGGAGAAGCTGACTGAGAAGCAGACAGAAGTTGAGACGGTCATGTCCGAGGTGTCAGGCTTCCCTATGCCCCAGCTGGACCCCCGGGTCCTGGAGGTCTACAGAGGGGTCCGGGAGGTAAGAGCTGGAACACCCTCCCAGGGGCTGTGGGTTCCCACCTAAGGTTTTGGGTGCCCACCTCTCTTGTACACATAAGGCCTGATGGCTGAGAACAGACTGAAGTCAGAGTCCTGCTATGCCACTTAGTGATTTGGTGGCCATGGGTAAAGTTCTTAACTCTGTTTTCCCATCTGGAAAATGAGGATGATAATAGCACCTCCTTGCGGTTGTTGTGAGGGTTAAGTGGGTAGATATATGAAAAGCCCCGGGACAAGTACCTGGCACCCGTCACCCGGCAAGCAGCGTATGTGTTAACAGCAATGATTTTATTAATACTGCCTCATCCGCAGGTGTTATCTAAGTACCGCAGTGGGAAGCTGCCCAAGGCCTTCAAGATCATCCCTGCACTCTCCAATTGGGAGCAGATCCTCTACGTCACAGAGCCTGAGGCCTGGACAGCCGCGGCCATGTACCAAGCCACGAGGTAGCAGAGACGGGGGCTAGGGTAGCCTGGGGCCTGTAGGTAAGGGCAGGATGTGGGAAGTACAGGCTTTCCCGGCCTTTGCCACTACGTTTGAATTTGGCCCCAGAGCTCTCTTTTATGTTCCTTTATATCATTTTCCCAGCTTGTCCTGTTTCATGTTTTGGGGCCAAGACCCTATTGAGAATCTCCTATGATGAGTTTCTAGGGGAGAGGCATATAACTACTAGGCTAAAACCCTGGTGTGTCCGAGTGGCCTCAGAAGCCTGTGGCTCCCCAGGGGGGCTCAGGTCCCTTGAAGAGCAGGATAGAAAGGACCCATAATGGGGAAGGGAAGGTGAATAGCTGAGTAGCCATCAATTTGGAAGAGCTCTAGCTCTCCCAAAGACTGTTCACCTGCTTGGATATATCTTGTAGCCCTTTCTGTTCCCTCTGATCTGACTTGGCTGTGGCATGCGCACAGCTCTCACACTCCCACACGCCCCTCAAGTCTCTTGCATGCACCATCCACAGTGATATTCAAAGGGCCAGCTCCAGACTATCAATTGACCTGAGGTTTCCCCACTACTCCCCCTCCCCCCGCCCCAAACTAGGATTTTCGCCTCTAACCTGAAGGAACGCATGGCCCAGCGCTTCTACAACCTTGTCCTACTCCCCCGGGTACGAGATGACATCGCTGAATATAAACGACTCAACTTCCACCTCTACATGGCACTCAAGAAGGCTCTGTTCAAGCCTGGAGCCTGGTTTAAAGGTGAGAACTCAGGAGGCAGTTCAGAAAGGGAGGGGCCGGAGCTCCTGCAGGTGAAAGCAGTCAGCATGACTTGGGAGATGGCTGTCTCTGGGGTAAGTGGTGGTGCTTTCTGCTGTACCTCCCTTCTCTCACCCTGGGCTCAAACTGACTCCCTCTGTGACCCTCTCCAGGGATCTTGATCCCACTGTGTGAGTCAGGCACCTGTACCCTCCGGGAAGCCATCATCGTGGGTAGCATCATCACCAAGTGCTCCATCCCTGTGCTGCACTCCAGGTAATGTTCGTGGGGGTGGAGGACAACTGGTCAGTGGATATCCAGATAGTAGAATCATCAGGACTTGGGGAGTTGGTGTGGGGACAGTGGAGAGGGGGCTAAGAACAGCCCTGGGATTGTGGCTTAAGCCACTAGGTTTACATTACTCCACTAGATTGTGAATTCCGCAAGAACGGTCCCAGTGCCTTGCATGTGGTAGGTGCTCAGTAAATAGTTGAATGAATGCATGAATAAACAAATGAACGTAAATAGGGAACATGGCAAGAAAATAGGTTAGGGGTGGAGATGTTGAGAAGTCTGTATCCAGTCGGATACTGAGACAACAGTGAGCCAGAGGTAGTGAATTAGGATGAATCAGCAGAGATGGTAACTGGAATCAAGGTGTATGATCAGACTGCATAGGTGAGGATAGGCCCAAGATGGCCTTCTTAGGAGCATCACAGTATAAGGGCCGGCAGAGGAGAAGAAGAAAGAAACCACACAGAGAGGGAGAAGTAGAATGCCCCCCCCCACCCCGAATATTTCCCCCATCACTAACCCCACCCCACCTTCCCGCTAGCGCGGCCATGCTGAAAATCGCCGAGATGGAATACACTGGTGCCAACAGTATCTTCCTGCGACTGCTGCTGGATAAGAAGTACGCTCTGCCCTACCGGGTGCTGGACGCCCTGGTCTTCCACTTCCTAGGGTTCCGGAAGGAGAAGCGCAAACTGCCTGTGCTCTGGCACCAGTGCCTCCTGACTTTGGTCCAGCGCTACAAGGCAGACCTGGCCGCAGAGCAGAAAGAGGCCCTCCTGGAACTGCTCCGGCTGCAGTCCCATCCGCAACTGTCCCCGGAGATCAGGCGTGAGCTTCAGAGCGCAGTACCCCGAGATGTGGAAGATGTTTCCATCACCATGGAGTGAGGAAACCATCACTCATCCTGGCCTGAAGGGTGTGGGAGGACACCAGGAATCCTGTTGGTGACTGAAAGCGACACTGAGCCTTTACAGCTGAAGACCCAAAGCCCCGCAGTGAGAGCTCATGGGTACCTGACAGGGAGGACTGACCGTCTGGCTGGCTCCCTCTTCTATCCTAGGCCATCGTTCCTGCTCAGTTCTGGCACCTGATTGAGACCCCACACCCTAGCATTCCCACTCCCCTTCTGGGGCTTGGAATAAGTATTTTCTCTCAGACTGTTGTGTCGTCATTAGAATGTGGATAAAAAGGCAGGTATTTATTGAACTTCCACATTTTGATGTGATGGAGATCTTTCTGTTTTCCCGCTTTAGCTGGAGGTAGGGATTACTCTTCCCTGTTACTGTCTAGGAGAGGATTCTTAACCAGTTTATGTAGGAAACCCCTCTCCCCTTATTCTGTTTGTTTTTCCAGGCTACACCCACCCTGTTAGCCTCTAGGGGGCACATTCGCTACCTTCCCCCGACACAGGCTACTTTGGAAGGCTGCCAGCAACCAGAGGTTCAAAAGATGGAAGAGCTACAGAAGAAAGCCCCTAGAGCAGCGGTTCTCAACCTGTGGGTCACAACCCCTTTGGGGGTCGAATGACCCTTTCACAGGGGTCGCCAGGTACTCGTATGTGGGCGTATCTGCATGTGGGCCTGGTGATGGATAGAAGAGCGGTGTCACGGTTCCTAAGACCATTGAAAATATGTGTTTTTTGGTGGTCTTAGGCAACCCCTGTGAAAGGTTGAGAACCGCTGCCCTAGAGGAAAGTGGAGATAGAAGCCAGACAGGTCAGGGAATAAGGTTGGGCTGAGGAATGATTAGATCTGGGGGTCACCACCAGACAAGTTGCTTTTCTTACTTTCTTAACGAGAGCATTAGACCAGAGGTTGGCAAATTAGGGTCATAGGCCCATTTTTTTATGGCCCATGAGCTAAGAGTGATTTTTATATTTCTTAATGGATGGAAAAAAATTGTAAGTTGTTTCATGATAGGTGAAAATTCCATGAAATACAAATTTCAGTGTCCATGAAGTTTTATTGGAACACAGCCATGCCCATCCATTTACGTTTTCTATGGCTGTTTGATGCTACAATAGTCCAGTCCCGTAACCCTTGTTTACTTTTGAAAATGTGAATTCGCTCCATCCAACATATTTGGGAATGATTTAATCATAAAGCAGTTTTTCACGTTTATGTGCAGTTGTGTCCCAGAGAAATACTAGGTGAAAGCAGAGCTGCACCCAGCTGAACCAAGCCAGATACACAAAATGCATGCACGTCCAGCAGTCACAGCTACCTCAGTTCACCTCGTGGGTTGGGAGTCACACCCACATCTGGTGTGACAGCCTGCTTTCCACATCCTTCCGACCTCTGCTTCCACAAGCAAACATCTCGTTCAAGATAAAGGGCTATATTCATTGTACTTGGGCTTAACCATTTAATGTATAAAAACTTGTTTTTTTAAAGTATGTCACTCATGAAGTTTGTGAGTGTTGTGCCTTAAGCCCTTTCCCCTTAGGTCCTGTGGTTTTTATTGTGCAGTTCTGCACAGTGCAGTCATTTTTAGGAATGCATATATTCCATTATAAAGCAGAACTGACTTTCTGTGGAGCAGAGACCATAGGGCCTACAAAGCCTGAAGTATTTACTCTCTGGCACTTGACAGAAAAGACCTGATGACCACTGCTTGAGACCATTGATATCCATTTGCCCTCTTGACCTCTAGAAATAGGCGTTTACCCACACCACCATCCAGTCCAAGAAGCCAAAGCCAGTTTTATTCCAGAAATTTTATTATAGCATGATGGTCCTGAGCCACCAGCCTGGACCTTGTGGCCTTAGGAAAGACCTGTGTCAACAGGGCTTGCCTCCCTCTCCAGACAGGGCGGGATCACCTCCAGCATCCCTGCTTCATCTCCCTCTGGAGGATGGGGCAGAGGGCAAGACGGAGAGGAGGGCCTGGCCCCTCCCCAGGCTGTAGCAGCTCCTCGGCCACCAAGATCCTCTAGCCAGCAGCAGAGGGGAGGGATGCAGCAACCGCCAGGGTTACCATCACTAGGGGTAGGTGGGCCCCACCACACCCTCTTACAGTTGTACTGAAAACAATTAATAAATTAAAACCAGCTCTTCCTTCAGCACTGACCCTGCCCCCCTCCATCACACAGGAGAAGCTGAGTGGAAAGCAAAGCAAGGAGTAATTGGTTGCTTCTTGAACCTCTGACAGAGGCCCCAGCCCCTCCAAGAGCAGCTGTGAGCACGGATTGTGTTGAGCTGTCTAGACTGTGTCCCCTCAGCATATCTGAAATTTCTTCAGAAACACCCAATCCAAATGCAGCTAACTCTAGAAGGTGTAGCACCCTTACAAGGCACCGAGAGTATTGTGGCAGTTGATGGCATGAGTGCCCCCAAGATAAGGGGGCCCTCTCCCCAGAAAAGGAATGTTTGGGAACATGTATTGTCTACTTTCAGTTTCATCTCTGATCAGCCTGGCCTACCCCCAGCTGTTGTAGAATCAGGGCAGGAGCTGAGCTGGTCAGAGGGGGGGAGGAGGAGCCTGACTAGCCACACAAACATGGCTGGCCAGGCCCCTTAGTGCACACTGCAGGGATACGTAGGACCTGCCCCCTTCGGCTTGGCAAGGGGCAAATAGGAAGGAGCCCCCTCAGGCTTCAGATGTGGCGTGGTTCATTCCTGCAGGCAGGGAAGGGGGATGGTAGCATCCCCTCCTCTGCTGTCAGTGGCCACTCGAGGGGGCCTCTCCAGGGCTACAGGTGGATTGCTGTGACATCTGTGGGAGTGCTGGTCTGGCTGGGCCCCTGGCTGCTGGAGCCCCTGGGGGCTTTGGGAGCTGGGCTGGGGGAGGTCTTGGAGGCTTCCCTGAGACTCTCCCTGAGTGCAGCTTCAATCTGCTCCTGACAGGCCCGCAGGCAGTCCTAGGAACACGGAATAACAGTGAGGTGGGAAGGAGGAAGGTCCCCTTAGAGCTAAAGGTCCACTTGCCTCCCCCATACCATCTGGCAGCAGGTGCAGGGAACGGACACCTCCCAGTACACAGGGAAGTTGGGAGGTTAGGCCACAGCCCAGCCCCAGGAATCAGCCTTCAATTCTCAGAAACTGGCAAGAGGATGTGGCAACAGGGTGTGAGAGCAGCCCTGCATCTGACACCAAACCCCCCGCCCCCGCTCCTGCATACCATTTGGCCGAAAAGGGCACCCAGGGATGGTGCCCTTCAACCCACCCAAGACCACTTGCTCTTCTCCAGACCAAGGCAGGAGACAAAAGGCCACAGAAGCCCCAAGGTTAGGACACGTGAAACCAGGCGTGGGGACCAGGTTTGAGATGGATGCCTCCCTCTGCTGGACCCTCAGGGAATAGCACTACCATGAATTGACAGCCTGCTAGCCTGCTGCCCAGCTGCCCAGCTGCCCAGCACTCACCACTTCAGTGCCTGTGATCCCTGCCAGCAGCTCTGTGAGCTCGTCCCCAGATATGGAGCACGCGCCCAGGCCTTGCACTGCAGCCCCAATGCTGCCCGTGGCGATCATGGACGGTGGGTACATGGCAAAGGTGTAATCTTGGAAAGAGGGAAAGGGAACCATGAGGCATGGGGGACACGAAAAATAACAGCCAGCGTGGACTTCCTATTCCTCAGTGCCAGGCAGCATGATTAGAGCAGAGGACGTACTGGAAAATGCCAGCAGTGAATGGTGGCAAGACAGCGGCAAGGGAGAAAGGCAGGAAAAGCTTCTCTCTTAGAGTGGATAAGGTAAACAGCAGACTTCTGCAGCTCGGGGCCAGGGTGATCCTTAAGTGATCCTGGCCAGGAACCAGGGAGGGAATGAGTCTCCCTGGTGTGAAAACAAAACTAGAGTCAAGAGATCTGGGTTTTGCTCCCAACTTAGTCACCATGAGACCCTGGGCAAGTCACTTAGCTCTAAACCCTCAGAGTCCCCACCGACGTATACTGGGGGGGGGTCTGAGAGATCCCATACAGCTCTGATTGTGTTCTTTTCTGTGTTGAAATTTAGGGCTGAGAGGGAACCTAGTTTTCACACATAAATGAGCATATACCAGAATCTCCTCGTTACCTCTGACCCTTCACATTTCAGTCTTCTGATTTTCCTGATTTGGCAAATCAGGAAAAATTTGGCAAAACTATGCCTAGAGCTCTCACTTACCTGTAGCACAGAGGGCCAGAAAGGTTTGGGCGTGCTTTTTGACCAAGGCCTGTCGGTCACTGGGCAGAGAGAGCCGGTGCAGGATCAGGGCCAGGAAATCGTGGGCAATCACAGCAGCTAGGTCCCATTTGAGCTTCCCCAGGACCAGCACCTCCCAGTCCTGGAGGTTGGAGAAGAGGGTGGGGGTTCAGTGGCTGAAGGAGGGCAGAGAGTAAAGCAGACATCTCGCAGGGAAGGAAGCCCATGGAACTTGAATGTCAAGACCCCAGTTCTGCTTCTGTGTAAGGACCAGCAGAGCAGGGAAGAGCTGGGGACCTTGGCTTCGAACATCTATTCATTAACTCGGTGCCAGACGACACGATTTACATGAATTGTCTCTTTTACTCCTGTTTGGTTATCTTTTGGAGGGGGGTGGGCAATAATCGAGGCCTTCTCCCGACTTCTTCCAGAGCTCTGAGCACCTCTCCTGCCAAGGCTGAAAGAAAAGTCTGCAGCAGCAGATACCAACAGCATCACCATGAACTTCAGGCTCCTCTGGGGTGAAGCAGAAAGACTCTCCATGATCCCCCCAACTCGGCATCCCAACCGAGTCTACAGCTCTTGAAGAAACCAGAGCATGAGGCCACACCTCCTGTGACAGAGCCACTGAAGCCACCCCTGAGGTTCCTCAAAGGGCAGATTGCCCAACCCAACCCACATCCCCTTAGTGGGACATCAGGGGTGGGTCCAGAGATACAGCACCCCACTCTACCCGCTTTAGTTGGAACCCATTGTGCCTAGCGCCATTTGAATCTCAGGAAGACAAGTGGAGGCCAAGCCAGACATGATGGGTCTGGGTGATCCCGGAGAGGCCAAATCCTATCAACACCAGCCCAAGCCTACATGCAACTGCTAGGTCCCAGAGGGAGGCCAAGAGCCCCGCCTCAATCCACTCGTCTGGGGTTCCTAGTGCTGGCCCCATTTCTGAGTTGCACACTTGAGGATTTCTTCATTGTTTTATCTCAGGAAGGAACTGATGGGTTTGCCTCCTTACTGAGGCAGAAATAGCAACCCCACCCAACCTCTTCCAGGCCCCCGCCTAGGTGTCATCCTCCCAAATCAGCCCCAA